AAAAATGTGCATTTGCAGGGAAGATGCTGAGCTTTCCTACCACAGAGTAGTCAATTTGTAATATTCTGCATGCCATATTAAGAGACCTTTGTATGTAGAGATTATCACAATCACATGAATATTTTCCCGTGCGGTAGAAAGAACATAACGCCAGGTCTCCGCTGTACTGGACCCGACATCTTTGTGGACGATGTGCCGTCTTTTTGAGCTTCCCGTGGGCGGGGCGGGCATCTCTCGGCAGCGCTCGGTGCCTGCAGTGCCGGGAGGAGGCTGCGGGCGCCGCTGTTGACCGAGAGGAGCGAGAGGAAGGTCGGAGCGCTGCAGCCCCGCCCGCTGCGGACCGGCTCGATCGCTGGATTCCTGAGTAGGAAAGTGGTCGGTTTCCGATCGTCCCTGGGTTGCAGAGCCGGGGTACAGGGAGGCGGAGAGACCGACAACAACGGAGAGCGGCAAATCGTAGCCGAAGCGGGAACTGAATTGGCGGTCAGTGGAGGGGATTGGCCGGTAGTGTTGCGGTGCCGGCGGTGCGGCGGCGGCGATGTGCTCGGCGGGGAGGCGCTGGGGCCGGCGGCAGCGAGTCCTGCTCTGGGGCGTCCTGCTGGCGGCCTGGGAGGCGGCGTGGGGGCAGCTGCACTACTCGGTGCCCGAGGAGATGCCCAAGGGCTCGTTCGTGGGCGACGTGGCCAATGACCTGGGGCTGCAGCTGCCGGCGCTCCCAGATCACGGCGTCCGCGTTGTCTCTGAAGGCAGGACGCAGTATTTCTCTCTGCACGAAAAGACAGGACATTTAGTGACGGCCGAGAGGATTGACAGAGAGCAGCTGTGCCGGCTGGTGGAGAAATGCGTGCTGCGCTGTGAGCTGATAGTGGAGGGGGAAATGAAGGTTTACGAAGTTGATGTGGAAATAATGGATATTAACGACAACTCTCCCACCTTCAAGGACATGGAACTGGAAGAGAAAATAAGCGAGATGACAGCCCCGGGCTCGCGTTTTTCACTTCCCAGGGCTAACGATCCGGACTCGGGACAGAATTCCTTGCAGAGCTATGAGCTGAGCGGCGACGAGCACTTCTCGCTGGCCGTGCAGACGGGCCCCGGCGGGGATCAGCGTCCCGAGCTGGTGCTGGCGAAGGCGCTGGACCGGGAGGAGGCGGCGTTCCACGAGCTGGTGCTGAGGGCGATCGACGGCGGCGATCCGACCCGGACGGGCACAGCGCGGATCCGCGTGACGGTGCGGGATGCGAACGACAACGCGCCCGTGTTCAGCCAGACGGAGTATACGGTGCGTGTGCCCGAGGACGTGCCCGTGGGCTCTGTCCTCGTCACCGTCACGGCCACCGACGCCGACGAGGGTCTGAATGGGCACGTGAAATATTCACTGAAGAAAGCGATGGACATGGCATCGGATATTTTCCACCTCGACCACGAAACTGGAGCCATCACACTATTGCGAAGCCTGGATTTCGAGGAAGGCAACTTCTATGAACTGGAGGTGCAGGCTCGCGATGATGGCGACCTTTTCGACACGGCCAAAGTCGCGATCACTGTCGCAGATATAAATGACAATGTGCCCGAGATTTCGGTGCGGTCTGCGCTAAGTGAGATTTCAGAGGACGCTCCATCAGGAACGGTAGTGGCCCTGCTGCACGTGCACGACAGAGACTCAGGGGCCAACGGCGAGGTGCGCTGCTCTCTCGACGGGAATGTCCCGTTCCTGCTGGAGAGCTCGCAGGGCAGCTACTACCGCGTGGTGACAGCGAGAGAGCTGGACCGGGAGCAGCAGTCGGAGTACAACGTGACGGTGCGGGCGTCCGACGGCGGGTGGCCGGCGCTGCAGAGCAGCAGGGTGCTGGCGCTGCGGGTGCTGGACGTGAACGACAACGCGCCGGTGTTCTCGCAGGAGCGCTACAGCGCGCGTCTGCG